TTTAGAGTCGGTTCCGACTCATAACGACCCTGTATAGGGTTTCCAAGGAGCAGCTGGTGAGTTTGAGCCTCTAACTTTGTTTTCAAACCAACCTTGCAGTCCACTGCTTATCCTACAGCACCACCCCAGGACCCCTATGCAATAGGTACTTTGATTTCCTAACTGCTGTTTCCATGAGCAGTGATCGTAGCTCCAAGTAAAATGAAATCTTTGACAACTTGAATCTTTTCTCTGTTTATCATGATGTTGTTTGATGGTCCACTTGAGAAGATTTTTGGTTGTAACTTATCCCGAAGGTTGTATTCTTTAATCTTCATCAGCAAGTACTTCAAGTCATCTTCCTCTCGGCAAGCAAGGTTATGTCATCTGTCAGTTGCATGTTTTTACTGAGCCTTCCTCCAATCCTGATGTCAGGTTCTTCATACAGTCTAGCTTCTCAGATTATTTGCCAGCATAAAAGCTGAAGAAATATGGTGTAAGGATACAACCCTGGCACATATCTTTCCTGATTTTAAACCAAGTGCTATCCCCTTGTTCTTTTTGAATGACTGCCTCTTGGTCTTTATATGGGTTCCTCATGAGTACAATTAAATGTTCTGAAATTCCCATTCTTTGCAATGCTATCCATGTTTTGTTATGATCCACAAGTGGAATGCCTTTGCATAGTCAATAAAGCACAAGTAAACAGCCTCTGGTAGTCTCTGCTTTCAGCCAAGATCCATCTGACATCAACAACATCCTCTTCTAAATCCATCTTGAATTTCTGACTGTTGTGACCATTTTTTAAATTATCTACAGCAAAATTTTACTTGCATGTGATATTAATGATACTGCTCGATAATTTTTGCATGCTGTTGGGTATCCTTGCTTTGGAATGGGTACAAATATTGATCTCTTCCATATTTGTTGGCATAGACTCGTGAGTGCTTCCAATGCTGCATCAGTTGGTTGAAACATTTAAATTAGTATTCCATCATTTCTGAAGTCCTGTCTTTCACTAATGTCTTCAGTGCAGCTTATACTTCTTCCTTCAATACCACTGGTTCTTGATCATACGCTACATCTTGAAATACTTAGATGCCAACCAATTATTTTTGGTACAAGGACTCTACGTATTCCTTTCATCTTGTTTTGATACTTCCTGCATCATTCAATATGTTACCCAAAGAATCCTTCAACCTTTCAAGTTGAGGCTTGAATTTTTTTTACTTCAGTTCTTTCAGCTTGAGAAATGCTGAGCATGTTCTTTTATTGAGGGTTTCTAACTCCAGGTGTTTGCATGTGTCATTGTAACATTTAGTCTGTCTCCTAGAGCTACCTACCCTGTGAAATCTTTTTTGTTCAGCTCTTTTGCTTCATTATTTCTTCTGTTAGCTTTAGGTACTCTACATTCAAGAGCAAGTTTCAGAGTCTCTTCTGACATCCACTTTGGTCTCTTTTTCCTTTCCTGTCTTTTTGATGACCTTTTGCTTTCTTCTTGTATAATATTCTTGTTGTCACCCCAAAATTCCTTTGGTCTTAGGTCATTAGTGTTCAATGAGCAAAATCTGTTCTTGAGAAGGTGGTAGTATGGTGGATTTCAGGGTAACCACTGGACTGCAAACTACAGGGTTGGTGATCCAAGTCCCCCAGGTGCTCCTCAAGAGAAAGCTGAAGTTTTCTGCTCCTGCAAAGATTTACAGTCTCAGAAACCCTATGCAGGGTCTCTGTGAGTTGGAACCAACTCAACAGCACTTAACAACAACATACTCAAGGTCATATTTTGCTCTTAACTTGTTTTAATTTTAATTTTCATTAATTTTTT